TAATAATAATAATAATAATAATAATAATAATCGTTACATACCGAGGTAAGTGCCATAACGCGACAAAGGGATTAATTAATTAATTAATTAAATAAATAATAAATAATAATCCTTAAGACGTAAGACTTAGCGAAGCCAAAAGATGCTAAAATATAAAATCTATTAAGCTCTAAGGATAGTAAAGAAAAAACTTGGATATCGGTCTGCGTTTTTAAAATCATGGCACAAACTCGTAACACACAGTATCCACGCACACGTGTAAACAATTATTTCAAGTGACTATATATATACAATATATATATATTTAAATATATATGTGTATAAATATATAATATAAATGTGTAAGTAACAAATCACTGCCCAGTGTTGGAGAATATTTAATTGAATTCACGATTAAACGAATGTTCGATGATTTTTAAACAATTTGTATATTTCCAACAAATTAATGAATTATTTAATCATTTCACTCCACGTGTGATCGCAGAATTTTATCGAACATTATCAAACGATTATTTCTTCAAAAATATATTCTAAAAAAAAAAAAAAAATATACGTAGATTATTTTATTATACCAAGAAATATCATCGTTTATATAAAATAACTTATGATTTGGATGTAATTTTTTATTAAATCATTGCAGCAAATGAAATATCTTATTCCCGACAATAAGAGAACGTTAAAATTTTAATCGAATCATCGATCGAGTAATTGAATTAAATAATACCGAACACTGCCACTGCCATATAGAATAATTATAAATACAATTTAGAGAATAGGAAACACACACGTTGTAAATCAGTATTTAAAGCTATTATTTATTACCATTGATTTATCTATGTAATTATAATTTACAATTGATCGTACTCTAAATAAGTTAAATGAGTACCATCAATTGATAACATATTAAATAGTAAATAGAATTACAAATTAAAAACAAAATGTTTTATACTTTTATGCGGTATTAATGTACTGAATTTAATAATACTTAAGTAAAATAAAAAATATAACTTTTGAAAAAAGATAAACGATATTCGCGTGATAGATCTAATCGAAAGGCTATTTATTGTATCGAAATAAAATAAAAAACAGTCCTTGTAAAACCAACAGTGCCCGTGACAAAAAAGTCTTCTCTTTGTGAGAATAATAATAATAATAATAATTAGAGGAAAAGAATTTTGGAAAAACTATTTTTTAAGAGACACCTTTATAATTCGTATGTGGTCATTGAATTGTAATATATTATATATATATATATATTTAGATAAATATACAAAAAAATTAACAATGATACTCTATTATGTAAAAAAAAAAAAATATACAATGTCAAAATATATTTATCTAATCATTTAATCAACCTAATTTAATTCCCGTATTAATGTGTGAATATATAATATATATGGATTTAAATTTTTTCTCATTTCTAAGTAAAGCAATGAAGTTTTTTATTGTTTTATGTTTTCAATCAATTGCTCACTTCTTGTTTGTCCGGCTCCACAACTTTTATTAATTAATTAATAAATATATAATATAAATAAACCTAATATTATTAAGAGTTAATATTATTAAGTTAATAAATATTAATTAACTTAAAGCTATGACTGTGTGTGTAATATACTATCAAAGAATAGACTATCCTTTTATAAGAAACGTTTAAATAATTATATAAATATGCTATAAATGATAAAATATATATAAGAGCGTTATAATATTAAATTTTATTTATTAGATGCATCATTCACTTTGTACACATGTGCAACATAAAGAAAGTCATATAAACAATATTTAATAAAAGAAATTTTATAAAGGATAATGACTCACTTCAACGGTGGATTTCGAACGGAACGATACACAGAACCTATATTTCGAACTTTTAAACAATAAAAGACAATTCTATCGATTATTTAACAAATATTTTAATACTCTAATACACTCTCTTTATATTTCAGATTGTTTAAACATATATGTACTAGTATAAGCATTTCATATACTTATTAACATACTTTAAATATTAAATAATTTCGATGTGATATTCTTTTCGATGAAAATTTCCCCCTCCGAAGTCACCACAGCACAGAAACGTTAAAACAAATTTACATTTATTTAAACAATTACGTAAAAATTAAAAAAATATAAAATCAGAACGTTCTAATCTTAAATTTTATTGATTAGATGAATTATTCCTTTTTTACACATGCGCAACGTTCGGAAAGTCATATAAACAACTTTCAATAAAAGTATTTTCATAGAAGAGAAAGTGCCAGTCTCAAGGTGCATCTCGAGGAAGCCGGTTGACAGAACATATATTCAGAATTTTTTAACAATAATTACACTTCTATCGATTATTGAACTATTATTTTAATTCTCTAATACACTCTTTTTATATTTCAGTGTGTTTTAACATATATATATATATTGGTTGAAATATTACATTACCTATTAACGTATTTTTAATAGAAAATAGTTTTGATATATTTTTTTTTTATTATTACTAAGTTTACTCTTAGGGAAGTTGTTTTTTGGACGGGTTTAATTAAGATGAACACTATATTTATCCGTAGTAGTAGTTCGTACTGAGTAGTGTTCGAAAAGTTATAGTAGAATAACGTTTTTTTAAAAATTGACTCTATTTATAAGATAGTGAAAACTTATGACTGTAATAAAAATGATGTTATATTGACTTATGAGCATAACTATCAAGTTGCTGAGGAAGTCTCAAATAGAGACGAAACGTTCAACGGATAAATATAGTGTTCATCTTAATTAAACCCGTCMAAAAAAYAACYTCCCTAAGARTAAACTTAGTAATAATATTAATAAATTTTGGATAAGAAAAAAAAAATCTTGATTATATTAACATTTTTTTTTATGTTTTTAGATGACTTTTTTAAAACTTGATTTCGTTACTGAGCTAATATATAAACATAAAATTTACCGATAACTTATATTGTTTTGAATCAGTTCTTTGTTAGACTTCAACACGTAAACGTATTACTTGCGAATAGGTGAAACTCTTAGGGTGGGGCCTAAGAGTTAGATTTCTTAAAAAATATTCTCAGTTAAATAATTTTCTTTCGTTTAATTTTTTTCGGATGTGGACATCTTCAGGATGCACATCCCTCGTGGGTCTTCGGAAGCGGCTACCTACTCGTGGTTAGACCCGGGCAATGGTGTTTTACTTTCAGTATAATGTTTAACATTTTTTATATGTTATACATTCCATTGCAAGTAAAACCCAGCCAAAGACCGCTTACCATAAACATTATAATAATAATTAGTTTCTTTCATTTTCCTAATTAATATCATATTACAATTCATTTCATTGTTTTCCCTTCATACTACTACCTCAATATGATATTTCGCATTATAATAATCGATTTATTTTAGGAATACTGATCATATTCATTCTTCACGTCTCTTAAAGAATTTTTCTTACATGATATTTCATTTAAAAAAAAAAAAAAAACAGAATACCTTAAAATTATTACATAATACAATCTATCCCGCATTTCAAACTCCCACTCCAATATCATATCATTTTCTAATGTCATATCACCCACGTGTTACTCTTTTCATTCTTCATTACATTCGTATATGTATATATATATATATATAGAAACTAATTATTTTATAATATTTTTTAATAACTCTTATATTTTTCTAGAGATACTTAGATTTAATCAATAATTATTGAAACTTAATTAACATCTTATTTTGTTTCAGGTTTGGATTAATTCTAATGCACTTGTAATTATCGGTCTTGGATCTAAAAAAAGAACTTACCTTCGATGCATTCATTGCATTGCATCCCAACAGATCTCAAATAATTTTTTCTTTTTCTTTTTCAGAACATTCTTTTCTGCATTCTGTCTAGCGCAATGTTTCAAAGATTTGAGAAATTTAATTAACAATAAGCCAACTAACACTAATAAGCTTATACAACGATGCAATAAGTAGCGATATGGTAGAGACCTATATTACCCTGTTACTGTAGTTCATAATTTGTCCAAACTTTTCGCTAAATTTACGTATGCACAAAAAGTGGTAACCAATCTTAATAAAAAATATTTATTATCTTTTAATCCTTTTATGTAATTTTAAGTAAATAAATGAACCAATTAATTTGCGATAAAAGGATCACATGATTAATCGATTTCGAGGTTAGTGCAACGAGATTTGATAATGCGCCATCTATTAATACTAGTTTTGTTAACAGTGAAGCAAACCAAGAGCACAAGTAATTTTACGAATCTTTTTATTTTTTGTTAAGAATAAAGATAAACATTTCTTTAAACTATATTCTTATTACTATAAACATAATTAAAAATAAAACTTAACAATTCGACAAAATTATCATTTGATATAAATATTTGTGAAACTCTACAGTCTAGGTAGTAATAAAAGTATAAAAAGACTTTAGAAGATATCAAGTGTTTCTTATTCACATATGATAAAATACTCATTCACAAAATGTTGAAAGCATTAGTACGTTGTATGTAATTACAATATCATTTAAATGTATTAACCATTATTATAAATATTAATTATTTTTATAGATAAGTTTTGGCCTTGGTGTCTATACTGGATTATATCTAAATCAGAATTATGAAGTATGATAACAATTAATATAAGATATAATTATTTAATGAATAATAACCAGCATTGATATTATAAATTATATTAAAATGTTTTAAAATTATTTTATTTTTAACATTGTAGATTCCAAAAGTAGATGATCCAGCTAAGATACTAGAAAGACTAAAAGAAATTGCCGATGATTATAGGAAGAAATAAACTTAATATTAACAGATATACTATGTGCTAAACGTAACAATATGTAATATTTTTAATTCATAATAACATAGAAATATCTGTATAGATATAAATTTACCCTTTTTTATAAATACTTTTGAATTATGCTCTATTAAATAAATTACTTTATTAAGACTAATAGATTATTTATTTAAATAAACATTTTAAAATTACAATATTATACTGTATATGCATGTAATATTAGATATATATAAATCCTCCACCGGAATATTCTATTCTTGCTTGTGGTTCTACAAATGCCAGCCAATCTGACGCATGTGTTGGTAATAAACCCATAGACTGACATTTATATAATGCTAAAGCGATGTTTACTAATTGTCCAAAAAAGTAAACAAATTTTTGACCAAATGCGTGTGTTCCTTCTATTACCTTAAATGCTACAAATATACATACAAAAAATGTTATAATATATGCTAAACATATATCTTTATTAAAAGTAATTAGATTATTTCTTATTATATTTCTTAACAAACTTACTTTGTTGTAGTGTGAAGAGTGCTTTGACTGGCCTAATAATTAACATACCAACCATCATAATAGGAAATATGGAAATAGAATTACCAGCCATATACATTATAAATAAATTCATTGGAACTTGCTTGAGAGGTCCTAAAGCTAAATCCCATGATTTTTTAATTATTAAATGATTTGAATCTGTTTCTCTGAGGTACTCTACACTCTGAAATAATGCTACTGAAGGAGTATAACCCGGAGGTGATGGTATATCCGTATTTTTCTCCTGTTTATTCCTGGTAATGTATCAAAGTATATATTCATTTAATTATTAAAAAATTAAAACATATAGTAAAACATCTAATTCAAAATAATAAAAAAACAAATTATCTATATCTTTATTACTTTCCCTTTTACGGGTTGAAGGCCTCTAAAAAAACAAATATAATATCATCTAATAACAAATTTATATTATCCAAACGTGATCACTATTATTCATATTCTAAAACTGAACAAAATATAAAAAAGAAATAGAATAAAATCGAGAATTTATCTTAAAATTGTATGATCTATATTACATACATACAACAAATATGAATCGAAAAATTAGGTTACATACTTGTGAGAAAAGTCTAACGCCCATTTAGATTTTTTAAAGTTCTGTTTGGTAGTTGCCATTATTTCTTATTACTTTTATCAAATATTAAAATATCCTTAGTAAAATAAAATATAATTAATTTATAATTAAATAACCTATATATATAGAATGGTAGAACGTAATGTTCAATTGATAACAAATGGTAGTAAACTATAGAGCAACCATTACATACGAGTACATTGATTGGACAACTGATGCATTTATATTAACTGAACTATCATCGTGATAACAAATTAATATAATAAGTTTGAAATACAAATTCGTTTAATTTCTTAATAATATTTCAATATAAAACTTTACATAGTTACATTATTTGACATAAACAAAAATAAAAGTAAAGATATTGCTCCAACTTGCAATTGAATGCAAGGTCAGTTTCCATGAACTAAATCTTGTCTCTAACTAATATTTTTTATATATTAAACTTCAATTTTGTATTTATATATACATATATATATTAATTTATATAATATTTATGTTAATATATATATAAAATGTATTAATCATTTTAATATTTATGTATCAGTACACACATACATACATATACATTTAGGAAGAAAAATAATGAGTCATTATTTATAAATATGCTTATGGTTTATTTGATTATTTATTCTCAAGTAACAAAATTTAATTTGTATAATTTAATAAATATTCATTTAACATTATTGCAAAAATTCTATTATTATTATTAACATTATTACTAATCTTTTTTATATTTATTAGACTTTACCATCATTATATGAAATTATACATAAAAACCGTGACAATTTCACAGTATAATCTAGTTTTATATAAAGAAAAAATGCTTATCTATAAATATTTCTCTCCAATTAGTTATTTTAGTGAACATGTACATAAATTACTACTAATTTAACTATTATTTATCACTTTATTTAACTTTACTGTAACGTTAAATGTAACTTGTCAAATAAAAGAGTAGAAGAGAAAAAGTCTAAATATGAGAACGGATATATATACAGAAGGTTTCCATGATATACGTAAATGTGGATTCATTAATAACACCGACTTCAAATATTTAGTTGTCAAATATTTAGTTGTAGTAATCTTGCATTATTTTATACAATTTGTTCACACGATAAATCAGAGAGATCAAATAATAAATCAGCCTTGATTAAGACCAGGTCCATGTAATTCTATAAAACTTTCCAAGATACGTGGTACATTGCCACAATAAGATAAGTTATATGTTTTCACTGCTTTTGCTGCCATACATTTTAAGGACAATTTTGTATGAGTACGCAGTAATATTTCGGCCACACCTAAAGAAAAATTATAAATGTTTTCTAGTATAATACATATATATAACATATTAAAGAAGGAGAACAAAATATAGAACGAATAACAAATAATAGGAATATAAAAGTAGATAAGTAAGAGTGTAAGAGTATAGTAGGAGGTAATAACTAATCAATATAAAACGATATAAAAATAATATGATAGTGGCGGTGATTCTCACTGCTGCTTTGAGTATTCGATGTTTACTCTCAATGCTTTCAGTAATACACTGTTCTTAGATTTCACTGGCTAGCCTGTCCCTCGGCAGTCCTTTGCTATGATACTTTCTATATACATAAGATACATCATAGGATGGCCTATCGTAGGCTATGCCTAAAATAAACACGGACAAGGGTTTTATGATTTCCAAATGCATCAATACTTAACAATAGGACAGACTACCCTTGTGCACACTTAATAACAGAGAGAGTCTTTTTCTCTCAGGTATCCTCTTAGTTTTTTCGAATTTCTAAGAATAGCATAAACGATAAAGAAAAGGACGTTATTTTTTGAATATCTTACAGAGCAATATAATAAAAGATGATGTTAAAGATAACCAGAAACTATTAGCAAGGGTAAGATGCGGAAATTTTAACATCAGAAATAAATACCGGCTAGATATAACTAATAGAATATATAACTTTAGAGTCGGGTACCTAAGACATTTAATAAATATCTGTGATAAAGTGAAATCAAAATTTACATTAGAATATCTACTAGATCAAAGAGGAACTCCAGTAGTAATAGAGTTGTTAAGAAATATAGTTTAAAAAATGAAAGAAAGTAGGAACGCTTATCGTAAGTTTAGGAGTAAGCATGAAAGCAGTATGAGAGTTCCTATAGTTTATATTATATAAAGTGATTTAGTCTATTTATATATTAAATTTATACATAATCATTAGTTATTAAAATTATTATATTATTCATGCACAATAGTACTTTGAGAATAACATACCCGTTGCTACAGATTCATATGGAGTCTTTCCATTACTATTTACAGCATCTATATGTGCACCAGCCTCAATTAATTCCATAATTATCGAATAAAGTGTCATAAAATCACTAATAACAATATAAATTAATGGATCAGTTTTTAAGACAATTGTATGATTAAAAAAAAAGATATTTTATATATATAATCATACTTAGTCACTCTCCTATAGCAAACAATAACATGAAGCGGAGTATTTCTTTCGTCATCCATTGCATTAACATTTGCACCACATTGTATTAATAACTTAGCTGTATCTGCACATGGAAATCTATAAAATACAATGTTCGAATTATTTAATAATTAATTAATTATCTTTCTATATAATTAAATATATTACTGTATAAAATAAAACTTACTTGCACACATCATCGGTATGAAAATCATCAACTGGTGTTTCAGAATTAACAGCAAGATGTAGAAATGTTTGGCCATCTCTCATTTTAACTTTTAATGCACATAATTTGTGTACTAAATAACGAGCTTTAGAAACGTCAGCTTCATTATAATATTTTTCATTTAATGTTATTAACTTACTTAAAATTGTTAAAATATATAAAGTTGTCGTAATGTTTGATTCCATCTCTTCCTAAATAGGTAACTTCAGATTTACATAAGTGCTTTAAATTGAAATAATTAACAAAAATAAATTAATTAATTACTTTTGTTTTACCTACCATATATTGGTCAATGCCATCTATGGGATCCGGATTATGCATTTTATTTTTATTACGTCCTAATTCTGTAACACATGCTTCTAATACATTTATAACTTGAGAAAAATCAGGATCTACTCCAACATGAATCATTTGAGAAAAAACCTATAAATTATTGAGAAATTTACATTTCAATATATTCCAAATATTAGTTCTAATAAATTTCCATCTATCTATTTAAATTCACCAACTTGTGCAAACCGAAGAAGATCTTTCACAGCAGATATATTATGTAATTGTCTTAATTTTAAGGCATGAAGCCATAGATCAATACATCTGTCAAACCTTGCATTATCTGCAAAAACAGCACCTCTAAATATTATAGGATGTGGTAATTCTGGATTGTCAGGTCCTAAAATATAAATATTTATTTAACATCATTATTTTCAGAAAATAAAATATATATATTTCTTTTATTTACCTAGTATTCTTTCTCGAATAGCAAGAGATTCCATATGAAGCGAATTGGGATTATTCTTAATATTTTCTAATTTTTCTAATGTATCACATTCTCTCCAATGTTCATATGCTTTCACTGTTTCACCTAATTCTTTATGAACAATATCATTAGGATCGCTATATCTATAGTTATACATAAAAAATAATAAATTAAATCGAAAAGAAACGAAATTTGGAAAGGTCGGATTAAAAAGAGTTAAAAAATATTTCACATACCTTAACTCCATTGCTTTATGTAAATATGTATATGCTAATGTCAAGTTGTACAAATCTTTGTCATTTGCGTAAGATGCCCCAAGTAATTCATAAGCATCAATTACTTCTCTTTTTGTTACTTCTGTACGAGCTGCTAAAAACTCTACTACGGATGTACACGTTCGTTCAGCAGCAGCTATCAGAGGAGTCATACCACTGACGTTTTTTGTTATTTTTGTACCATAACTTAGTAATTCAGAAACTATTTGTGTATGACCACACTCGGCTGCAAAATGTAATGCTGTTCTACCACAAAGTGCTTTTTCGTTAGGGTCTGCATTATTTTTTAAAAGAAAATTCACCTGTAACATACGTATGCATAATATATAACACACGTTGGTATTTATTATAATTATTTAATATAAATAATTTATTAAAATATACTAACAACATCCAAATGTCCATTGTTTGCTGCAATCATCAAACAGGTATTATTGAATTTATTAGATATATGTACGTTTGCACCATGGTCTATTAAATATTTAACAATATCCAACCGTCCTTCAAAACATGCAGCTCGAAGAGGAGTTGAATTAGTCTTAGTCGGATGATTCACATCTGCTCCAGCTTTAACAAGAGTTTTAACAGTTTTCAAATGGCCTGCCCCTGAAAAATGAAATATATAATAATTAATTTTCTTCAGTGTATTAGAATGCGTTAATATTTGTGTGTTAAACGTTTTGTTATTAATAAAGAAATTAAATAAAGCAAAGAAAGAAGTTTTAGTTATGTTGAAGTATATTAATCAAGATTAAATTATTATCATACCTTCTTGAACATAATAACACCCTATGACTTCATCAATAGAGCCTTTCAGCCAGCGGCTTCAACTAATTACTTGCAAAAAGCCATTTAAGTGCTTTCAGGAAGTATCGTTTGCCATGTTTTCCCCATTTTTATCCTGAAACTGTACAGTATGCTACACTGGGTGAACATAGAAAAAAAAGGATAATAAATAAAACATTTAATAAAAAAATGCCACGATTTGTTTTACCAATATATTTTCATCGTTTAATAATATGTAAAAACAAAAGAAACTTTATATTATACATATGTATGCATGTGTGCACCATGATATTAAAGGAATAATACTTAAAAATATATCTATGACAAATATCATCGCTATATTGTGCAAAATCATGTATATGTGGCATTCATTTATATTATTGTATTTATAGCTATAAAATATATAGTATACTGTACAATGTTTCAGTAAGAAATGGAAAAATCAGGGCTTCTACGTACTTGTTAAATTTAAACTCAAATAAATTTAAGAAAAGTTATTTATCAGTTAATAAAACGATACAACTTTTTTTTATACTCTTGCATTATAACATTTAGTTTGATAATAGAAATTAATTATTAAATGTAATTATTATATGTTGATTTATTAGTAAAAAAAAAAAGTATATATAGATTTACAAACTTTCTACGATCACTGAAATTTACAATAATATAAATAAAAATTAATGAAATATTAAATAATATAATATGATACCTGCAGCACACCAAAGGGCAGTTGCTCCATCAATAACATATTCATCAAATTTGACAATTCCTTCTTGTTCGAGATCAGGCTTAAATTTATCAATCAATGTCTTGACAACCCTGACATGTCCATATCGTGCTGCGATTATTAAAAGTGTACACTTTTGTCCGTCTTCTAAAACTTTCTGTAATTGTTTTGTTAAAATAATCATCAAAGTTAATATTACATATAGATGATTTAGAATATATAGAACATATATTTATTAATAATTTCATTGTTCCACACATAAGTAAAGATATATAATGAAATATTAGAATTTTTATAATATATACATATATATATTTTATGAACATTAATAATCATTATTTGGATAAAATATTGTAAACATATACCTGATTAATAAGATAATCAATTTTTCCGGGTGGTTTATCACTAAGAAGACCATATAATACAATAGCCATTCCATCTCGTGCAGCGTAATAAAGTCTTGTAATCAAAGATAAAGAAATTTCAGTATCTTCTTGTGCAATCTCAGTAGAACCCATGTTCGTTAATTTTTTATAACTCATTAAACCTAATTTGTTTTTTCCCTTCTAATAATGTAATTAAAATATCACTGGAGTTGTCCTTTTTTTTTCCTTTTTCTTTTCTTAACAACGTAGAACCGTAACCTCAAAGCTCCTACGTTTGTTTCTGTTTATGAGAAGAATCAACGCACAAGAGAAATACATGGATTAGTTCTACACAGTAAAACTATTTTAAGAACCGTTACACACAAAAATATATCGATCCTAATGTTATAAAAATAGCGATGACTTGCACTTTTGCGATAGAGAATTGGTTTCTCTTTTAACAAAGACCTGATTTGTTGATTGTAAAATAATACACATAAGTACTCATATTACGCATTAACATTTAAATCCTTACAACAACAGAGTACTTCATGTGACTTTATTTACTCAACGGTATTATTTTAAATTTTTGTCGTGCATTCATTTTTCACTTTTGCGAGAAATTTCATTTAAATGACGCGTTGAAGATTATTTTGAAAATTCTTTCTCAACGTCACCTTTACCATCCGCGACTACTACACATTCTCTGTACAACACATATAATGACGCATAGTCTGCTGTTCTTTCTTTCTTTTTTTGTTTTATCTTCAGTTTAAAATATTACTGGAGTGCGTAAAAGATATCTTCAACAACCTGCAATATTTTAGAATTTATTTATTTATTATATATTTTATTAACATTTGTAATTTGTTCGTTAATATTATTATTTCAAATTACGTATACAGCTTTACTCAAATCTACGTTGGTCCATATTTCAGGGGTAAAATGTTCGATGTTGTGTGTATACATGTGTTATACATGTGTATGCAGTGTTTATATTTATTTTTTTTAACTTCTTTGTATGTATATGACTGAATTTCAAAAAATAACAAAAGAATACATAAAACTAAGATAGGTAAAATATCGTAAAGTTATTATAATTAAGAGATAAAACTTGTTATTGAATCGATTTAGGATTAATTAAACATTTTTTTTCATTTTTCTTCTCATTAATAAATACTATTACATACGGAATAGCATGGATATCCATCAGATATGAAAGATTGAAATTAGTAAGTTTTTAATATATTATCACATATAAGTATATGAGAAAAAGGTAAGAAAAATAAAATAATAATGTAACTTTGATAAATTTAATATAATGCATATGATTTTAGAACACAAGAGAAGGTATTAGTAATACAATCATGCTATAAAACTATTTAAGAATGTTTATTCTTAATTATACTGTGAAATTAGCATGTATATTACACATATATTAAAACCATTAATATTACTATGCAATTAATTATATATTGAAATAATATGAAATATAACTATTTATCTATATTACCAAGAAAGATTCTACACAAATCACAAATATATATATATATATGACAATATAATTTACAATTAAACTTGATAAAGCACTGGTTTCGATATAGCACTCAAATATGGAAATCAAGAGCATGTAAAAATAATAATAGCGATTTATATATCATCTTGCATGAATTTTTAAACAAGAAAATTGCAATCATGTATACACAATACTCCATTCAAACAAGAATCTTATATTGTAGGAACACTTTCGGCCAATAAATGTACATAATTACAAATTATGGACATACATTTTTCCATGTACATCCATAATTACAATTAATTTGTTAAATTAAAAGTCAATAATTATTAAAATGGACTGACAAAATTATTTGACTACTTTTGTAGCCAAATGTTAATAAATTTTTTTATGGCCAAATGTAAATTATTTGATAATTTACTGATAAATTATAACTGTGCAAAACGAATATTATTACTTTATTTCTTTATTTTAAAAAGAACATTTATCAATAATTCTACCAGAACATTTGGTACCTTTACGTATGTCTATTAAGTAAATATTCTCATTTATTCGTAATTTTTCTTTTCTTTTCTTTTTTTTTAATACATGTGCATTGCAATTATTGTAAGAAATTATACTAATACATAAAAATAAAATATATTTGAACATATTGTGAAAGTTTGCGTGATTATTAAATTACTTATCATTCGGAACTCAAGATCAGTTCATCATGAATTAGTATTAAATGATAAACTACGACCCATCAAATTAATATCTTTGTACATATTTTGATGTATGTTTTAACATATTTTAAAAATAGATAATTTCTTAGTGTGTTCTACTCGTACAACACATAAGAAATGATGATCATGTTAAATGCATCATCATATACTTGATCGTTTAATTTATAATTAACAAGTCTATGAAAATGCATTTTAATAAGTTTAATACGTTAATGTTATAATCTACAGCGATAATTCTAACTAGCTACCTGACTCAAGAAATAACGCAACTTGATTTTTCTTGTACATTTCCATCAGCCTTTTCAATTTCGATCAATAATGTGTGAAAAATATCGGCAACGGACTGAAAAATATGAAATAAATTAGAAAAGATAAAAAAAACAATATACGTTATTTATACCAAAGAGAGATTTTTAAATAATTATATGAGATTAAACAGACATACCTCATTTTGTTTAGCACTAGTTTCTAAAAATGCTGCATGCCAAGCATCTGCTAACTGTTTACCTTGTGCAGTTGTTATCATTCTGTCTACGTATAAATCAGTTTTATTGCCGACCAGTACGATTGGAACACTAAAATCATTATTATTATTATTATTATTATTACTTATAGGAAAACATTGTTATCATTACTTAACATATAAAAACATTAACGTACTGGACTTTTCCTGTAATGTCAAGTAGCTTATCATAAATAATTTGTACAACTTCAAAACTTTTAGCACTGGTTATACTATAAACCAAAACATAACCATGGATATCCATTGAATATTGAGTTGGAAATATGCTATATTCATCTTGACCTGCAGTATCTACTAATTTAACTTCATAATCTTGGCTATTAACTCGTGTACTTTTAGTAAATGCTATAACAAATAAAATTTCAGATTACACAAGCGTGTACACACATATGCATACATACATGAGTGCACTACTGTTAATTTATAAAAGAAATTTAAATAAAGATAAATCACGTAATATAGATATTTCTTACTATTTTCTATCGTAGGGTCATACGAATCCACAAATTGTCCTTCGACAAATTGTATGCTCAGTGACGACTTGCCTGCAAAGTCAAAAATGATGATATTATTATAAGACTTTATTACAAAATTAAATTTTTTAATTCTATATCAATATATAATTAAAGTTATGCATCAATATAATTAATTAACTTTTTTGAAAATAGAATGTTATCTCTTTTTCTCGTACCTACTGATCTATAGCCCATAATAGCAATTTTCCTCTGTTTGGGTGGCATTCTTTAGCATTTACAAACAGAAATATGTTATATATTTTTTGTAAAAAAAAGTGCATGCTCCGGTTAAAACCTGAAAACATAATATAGAATTATTTGAGTTAAAGTATACGTATTTAGATTTAAGCAACTTGTTTCTAAATCTTCATTAATCTTTTACTTTCATAATATGTCTAGAAATATTTTATTCATTTTCCATACATTTAATTTCTGCACTTTTGACCTAAGATTGATGTAATAATCAATATAATGTTGTTAAGTCTAATGACGAAGCAATTTTTGTAGTATTTAATCTCTTTTCTATTTGATTTTTTTGTAGTTATTTTTTTTTCTAATTTCTCGCAATCTTCTTCAGTTATAACAATCAGTAATACATATAAATCTTAATACAAACATAAATACTGTTGATATATTTTATTCTTATAAAATTCATTAAGAGAAAAACTATAGATAATTTGATATTAATAATTCATCATAAATATTGAATATTTTTCCTAGATCATCAAATTAATTAATTAAATATTACTCTCCTTTATTGTCATTATTTCTATAACTTATTTATAAATAACAGAGATGTATTATAAAAATATATTTGTATATATATATATATACAAATATATTTTTATAATACATCTCTGTTATTTATAAATAAGTTATAGAAATAATGACAATAAAGGAGAGTAATATTTAATTAATTAATTTGATGATCTAGGAAAAATATTCAATATTTATGATGAATTATTAATATCAAATTATCTATAGTTTTTCTCTTAATGAATTTTATAAGAATAAAATATATCAACAGTATTTATGTTTGTATTAAGATTTATATGTATTACTGATTGTTATAACTGAAGAAGATTGCGAGAAATTAGAAAAAAAAATAACTACAAAAAAATCAAATAGAAAAGAGATTAAATACTACAAAAATTGCTTCGTCATTAGACTTAACAACATTATATTGATTATTACATCAATCTTAGGTCAAAAGTGCAGAAATTAAATGTATGGAAAATGAATAAAATATTTCTAGACATATTATGAAAGTAAAAGATTAATGAAGATTTAGAAACAAGTTGCTTAAATCTAAATACGTATACTTTAACTCAAATAATTCTATATTATGTTTTCAGGTTTTAACCGGAGCATGCACTTTTTTTTACAAAAAATATATAACATATTTCTGTTTGTAAATGCTAAAGAATGCCACCCAAACAGAGGAAAATTGCTATTATGGGCTATAGATCAGTAGGTACGAGAAAAAGAGATAACATTCTATTTTCAAAAAAGTTAATTAATTATATTGATGCATAACTTTAATTATATATTGATATAGAATTAAAAAATTTAATTTTGTAATAAAGTCTTATAATAATATCATCATTTTTGACTTTGCAGGCAAGTCGTCACTGAGCATACAATTTGTCGAAGGACAATTTGTGGATTCGTATGACCCTACGATAGAAAATAGTAAGAAATATCTATATTACGTGATTTATCTTTATTTAAATTTCTTTTATAAATTAACAGTAGTGCACTCATGTATGTATGCATATGTGTGTACACGCTTGTGTAATCTGAAATTTTATTTGTTATAGCATTTACTAAAAGTACACGAGTTAATAGCCAAGATTATGAAGTTAAATTAGTAGATACTGCAGGTCAAGATGAATATAGCATATTTCCAACTCAATATTCAATGGATATCCATGGTTATGTTTTGGTTTATAGTATAACCAGTGCTAAAAGTTTTGAAGTTGTACAAATTATTTATGATAAGCTACTTGACATTACAGGAAAAGTCCAGTACGTTAATGTTTTTATATGTTAAGTAATGATAACAATGTTTTCCTATAAGTAATAATAATAATAATAATAATNTATATATATGTATATATATTATTAAAAATTAAAAGTATGATGCGATTATAAATCTTGTTCGTATAGGATAACAACAATGTGATAGAAAATAAAATCTATGCATGCGTGAAAACAATATCGATTTATTATTTTATTTGATAAAATAATGATTTCAAGGATAACATAAACATGACTGAGCTGTATATAAATCTCTGTCTATATAGTATTAAATATACTTAAAGATAGTTTATAAAAAAGAAACGTACTTAAGTTTATAATATTTCCATACAACTACCAATCTTCATTAATTAACGATGTGTACCGTTTATCCTATAATGAAAAAAAAACTACACATGTCATATGCACTAATGCACAATAAACAATATTACTTTTCTTATTTAGTTTACTACTACGCATAGTTTAACATACTAGTCAACGTGAAAGAAAGATTGTGTTAAGTATGCTTTACATTTTTCGACACGTTATGCATCTAAAGACTTCCGCCATATTTTTGATACGTTGATTCGTATATACCTTTCTTAGAACCAATAAGAATGTATGTAACATCAAATTGCACTCTATTGATAATGCAATTAGTGGTGCATACTCAACGCTGTAAGAGTAAGAACCAATCATGTTTCCCTTGAAATAAAAATAATTAAATTAAGCAATAATATATATAAGTTTTATTAATAACAAACTTGATCAGACGTAAGATTAATTCAATAGCATTTATTCTATTATATATATCTAATGAATGATAAAATATAGTTAAATGTATACTAATCGTGTTCAATTGTATGAGCCAATAAAAATTCATTCAGAATTAAATCACATCGAGGCGCGAATTTTCAAATTTCTTTAGAAGTCGATAATGGCAACCTTCGATACTATCGAAATTTCGAGACAACGACAACGACGCGAACAGTGATTAGGAGTGGTAGCGAGCGGTTTTTATAAGCGCCCAATTTTTAAATTTAAACACATTAGTTAGAGAATCAAATCGAGTAATAAAATGTTGCAGGTTTAATCAGATATTAATTTCGATTCTCTTTGTGTAAATGTGTGTTAATTTTCAACTCGCTTAATAATTTTCTATGTTCTCTATCTGTATGTACAATCGTAAGACCTTAAATCGAAAGATAAGTGTACACAAGTGATTAATTAACGGCCTTGAAATGAAGGACTATTTATAATGGTACAGAACAAAGTCTATAAGAGGAAATAAAGTACAGTATACTTTATAAGTATACTGATATCTTTAAGTTAATTCAATGACTAAATAAGATGATTGATAAATATATTTTACAATTAGTCATTTGTTCTTAATACTATTTAGAGGAATATATTTATCGCTTTTATTTCAAATGCAGTAGCTCATTGATCTATCGAGGAATAAACACAGTATCGAAACTTCAGAAGTAAAAGTAAGTATTTAAGTGATATATCATTTTATCGCATGATTGTGCGGAATCAAAATTTAATTTGCTTTATACATCTAAAATTTCTTTTTAATGCAAATATGATCGTTAAATATTTCAATACTAATATAGAATCATAGTTCACAATATATAATTTGATCTCGCATAATATCTGTATTATATAAACTCATTTACATAATATTCATTAATATGAATAATATTTGTATACGTGCGCGAGATGTGTGTAACTTTTCTTGAACCTTTCCTCCTCCATCTTTTTCTGCTCTCATCATTCATATAATCTAATCATCTATAATTTCCTCGCATATATACACATATATACATATATATACATATATACAGCGCGATAAATTGAAGTATTCATATACTATAGTATACATTTGTATATTTCTACTGTATATTTTTATATACTTATCTTATCTATTCTATTGCAAATAATTTTATCTTTATATATATATATGTATATATNATACTTATCTTATCTATTCTATTGCAAATAATTTTATCTTTATATATATATATGTATATATAGATTCAAATACGGACAATGCATAAGGGATTAAAATTTTGTAAAAATTACAACAAAGTGGCATTCATTAATGGACCTTTAAAACGTTGCATAAAAACTGTACCACATTCGATCGAAAAAAACGATGTGGAAACTATTCGTTCTTATGAGGATATACCTGGACCAAAACCAATATGGTTATTAGGCAATACTTTTAGATTCTTACCTTTTATCGGTATGACGTATTTAAATATATATGTATATCTTATTTAAAAAAGAAACAATTTTTTTAAATTGTTAATTATTCAATAAAATAATAATGAATATAGGCGAATTTGGAAATAAGCCATTGGTAGTGCAATTAAAAATGCTTCGCGATGAATACGGAGATATAGTTAAGATGGATGGTTTACCAAATCAGCGTAAAACCATATTTGTATTTTCATCGGAAATAATTGAAAAGATCTATCGTACGGAAGGCCCATGGCCTCAAAGGATTGCCATGGAAGCATTGCATTATTATCGTAAAAATAGAGATTGGATTTATAAAGGAACATATGGTTTAACTACAAGGTCAGTGCGAAAAATAATCTTATTTATATCATACGAAAAAAATAATAATTAAAATTAAAACGAGAAAAAATGATCTATTTAAAATAATGTTATCATTTATAGTCAAGGTAAAGATTGGTATAATTTTCGGACGAAAGTTAATCAACACATGATGCAACCACGCGTTATTAATCCCCATATTGAACAAATGACAGACATTGCAACGGAATTTATCGAAAAGATACGAAAAGAATTAAGAGATCCTGTTACCTTGGAATTATCTCCTTCGTTTAACAATGAAATGAATAAATGGGCTTTGGAATGTAAAGTTTTATATGTTTGTTTTATTATATAAATATTATTAGATATTACTTTAAAAAATTTTTTAATTAAAGTTATTATATAATATCGTAAATATTTTCATTATAGCGATATGCGCAATCGCATTAAATCATCGATTGGGTTGTTTAAAATCTAATCTAGCTGAAGATTCGGAACCCCAGAAAATGATTAATAGCATACACGAAATGTTCGATCTTATGTTTCGTTTAGAATTAATGCCATCTTTGTGGAGGATATATAACACGCGTACTTTAAAAAAATTTTTCAACGTTCTAGATACTCTTAATGGGTAATATTTCTCTCTCTCTCTCTCTCTCTGTTTCTATCTTTTTATTATTTATATTTATAATAAAATTTATTATCACGAATAATGGTTACTTATATTCAATCTATGTTCTTTTTTTTTATAATTTACAGAATATCAATTAAATATATCACTCAGGCGAAAGAAAGATTATACAATGAAACAGCAGCTAATACGCGCGAACGAAGCGTGTTAGATAAACTTTTGTTTATTGATGAACAAATTGCTTGTGTAATGGCGCTTGATATGTTAACTGCTGGGGTTGATACGGTAAAAAACGATACATTTTTTTTATCTCTAATCCGTATAATCATATAAAATAGTGTAATTTCTTTTCCAGACGAGTAACACATGCGGAATGTTGTTGTACCATTTGGCAATGAATCCACGTGCTCAGGAAAAATTGCAAGAGGAAATAAAGTTAGCATTACCCGATAAAGAATTACCAATTACAGTGCAAACTATGAAAAACATTTCATATTTAAAAGCGTGTCTCAAAGAATCTCTTAGATTATCACCGATCGCAATTGGTACTCTTAGAACAATGCAAGATGATATTATTATAGGTGGATACAAAATACCGAAAAATGTAAGACAATTGATGATTTAATTTTAAAGAAAAAGAGAGAGGCAGATATTAAATTAATATATATTTCTTTTTTTTTTTTCTAGTGCGATATTATATTAGGACATTCACTGTTATCAATAGACCCTAAAGAATTTGAAAATCCGAATGAATTTATACCGGAAAGATGGATACGAGGAGAACCAAATTTTCCATCCGCAAAAAACGCTCATCCCTTTTCTTACATGCCATTTGGTTTTGGAGCTCGTACTTGTATTGGTAGACGATTTGCCGAGTTTGAAATTGAAATTTTAGTGTTAAAGGTTTGTTTATTTTTTGTTACAATATGCATATAATATATATTGTGAAGTTTTACAATTTATTTTCTAATTAATTAATTTACTTAGTTGCTGCAAAATTTCCGTATCGAGTGGCATCGTCCACCTATAAAATTAAACAGTCGGTTAATCAATACCATCGCATCTCCATTAATATTTAAATTAATAGATTTGTAATGGAAACGATAATGATTAATTAACATGAGATGCAATACACGCAGAAAAGAGGCACTGATAATAACGTGCGTAAAAATAAAAAATGGCTTAAAAAGTCGCCTTAAGATCAAAGTATTTGTAAGTTCAAGGTGCAAATTAATTAAGAAGGTAATTTAAATCTTTAGATCATGTGTGTGTGTTTTTGTGATTATGCAGTCAAATAATAATTTTCAAAAAACATCATTGTCAAAAGCACTTATAGGTGCATTTATATTTTTATTATGGACTTCATGATTATTATGATCTTATTATTAGTATATATAACATTATATATATATAACATTTTTATTGAATTATAAAATTTAAGAAGTTAAACTTAAAAAAAAAAAGTAAAAATGAAGTATTAGGTCCCACCGAGATTTGAACTCGGATCGCTGGATTCAGAGTCCAGAGTGCTAACCATTACACCATGGGACCTTGCGTAAGAATCGGTAAGTTTAACCATTTCAAGGGCAGAAAATATCATAAATAAAAGCTAATTATTAAATATT